GTTTATACTTCCTCCGTTTCGAAATAAGTGACTCAACTTTACACTAAGTTTGTATTAAAGTTACCACATGAAACATGTGGTAAGCAATCCAAATAATTTTAAAAAAACTTTATATTAAAGTTAGTATAAAGTTGAGTCACTTATTTTAGGACGGAGAAAGTAGAAAGAAAGCTTAGGTAACATTACGTAAGGGTCTACTCATAGGCGTAGCATTTTTGTACACAAAGATAGAGGGAAAGCAGCCAGACTGGCTGGATGTGGACGCAAGACATGCCGTGTCATACCGGCCGACGACTTGGACCTGGACTAGCAATAGGAAGCGATGTGGATCGCTCTGGATCGGCCAAACCATGGAGTGCAGTCATGTCGTCGTCGCCCATAAATAAATAGGCGTGGCGCGCGATCGAGGCCACCCACCGCTCAATGCCTCGATCTCACCTCACCGCCGGTAGTGGGTAGCCTTTTTTCAATGTTCCTCTTGCTAGCTAAGTTAGTACGAAGCAGATCATGGTGGCCATGGGCTTGCCTGCAACTGCAAGCAGAGGCAGCGCGCAGCTCCTCCTCTTCGTCTATTTCGTCCTCCTCCTCGCTTCCTTGCACTTCTCTGGAGTGAAATCTCTCGACGTTTCTCCTCCCGCTTCCGCTCCGACTTCCGCTCCCCCTCCAGTGGCAGCAGCAGTTGCCTCACCCTTCTCCTTCAGCTTCGACTTCACCAACTCGTCCACCTATAGCATGGAAGACCTCGAGTTCGAGGGCTCCGCGTCGGCGACGGTGCAAGACCACCTGCTCGACCACCATGTCGACGTCACCTGCAGCTCGTACGGGACGGATCCCAAGCACTGCACGGGACGGGTGTCGTACGCGCACCCGGTGCCGTTCTACGACAACACCACCGGCGAGTTGGCCAGCTTCCAGACGCGCTTCACCTTCGCCATCGTCGTGGACAACAGTACCATGAAGGGTGATGGCATGGCTTTCTTCCTCGCCTGTTACCCATCAAAATTGTCACCAAACTCACGCGGGGGAAACCTTGGCCTGATTAACTCCGGCGACGATGGCAAGAACCAGGCCGCCTTCGGAGACGAGCGGTTCGTGGCAGTGGAGTTCGACACGTTCCAAAACACCTGGGACCCCATTGGCGACCACGTTGGCATCGACATCAACTCTGTCTCATCTGTAACGGCAACAAGGCTGCGCGACTTCAGCCTCAACGGCGCCATGACGGCCACCGTCACCTTTGACAACGCCACACGGATGCTGGTCGCCGAACTGCAGCTTGATGATGACAAACGTGATCTTCGCCCTGTTCAGGTCAGCTTCCAGTTAACCGATCAGCTCAACACCTTGCTCCCGCCTCAGGTGGCAGTAGGGTTTTCCGCAGCCACAGGCTCCGCCATGGAGCTGCATCGGATACTGTCATGGTCCTTCAACTCCTCGCTTGCTCCGCCCCGCAAAGGTAATATTCCCTCCTTTTTCTGTTTAAATTAATAATTATAGTAGATATTTTTATGGTACATCATATACTACAGGATCTATAGGATTTTCTTGAAACTCGTAATACTGGATTTATGGTGTAGTATTAAGTTGATCCAACGGTTAATATGGTTCATCTCGGAACTTAGCTCAAGGGCAGCTTGGTAACTTCCCATTAGGATACCACACCTCCTGTTGCACAGCATATGCGAGGAGCGCCTCTGCGTGCTCTCGGTTCTCCTTTGGCCCTGCCGCTAAGCACGACACGATACCGTTGAGTTCGACGTCAAGGTATACACACATGCAGGGTTAAAAACTTCAACGAAATTTCACATATTTTGATGAGGTCTGAAATATTTTAATGCCAAAAATTTGAGTCAGATTCAAACTAATTTCAAAATAAATTTAAATTAGGTTAAAATCCAATTTTTTCCCCAAAATTTCCCACATTTCCTTGAGGCCCTAATTTTTTTTTACAAAATTTAAAACATTGCACACATGTAACTAGCCTCTTGAATCTATACCAACTGCATGAATTCAACGGAAAATCATGTCATATTTGTTGCATCTACTCATGATCGATGGATGCAACGGGAGGAAGAAATCATTGACTTGGCTAGTCTGCCTGATTCGTGGGACAACACACGAGCCGGTGGACGGAACGCTGCTCACAGGGTTGGCGTTGGTGCTTGACTGGTGGGAACCAGTGAGCCATGGCTCGACGCCGTCTTTCGACCTACCATAAGATTTGCTCGATGCCGAAGCCCATGTGTGTAGCATTGCTCATCAAATTAATCAAAATTGGTAATGGAAATACCGAAAAAGGGTTTCCCCCGCTTTGTATACAAAGCAACCAACCGAATCATACATGGATAGGTGCTAGGACAGAAGCAGCACAGTCACGCCCAAAAGAAAATGAAAGAGAAAAACAAAATAAACAAATGCCGACAACGGCGGATAAACAAAAATGAAGAAGCCTCGCGATCGCAGCGTCCACCAGGATCTTTCACTAGACTCCAAGACTCCGAAGCGCCGGCACCTATCAACACCTTTAAGAAGGATCGCGACGATGACGACGCTGCTGCCAAGGATTTCCCCCGGTGCACGACGAGGCGAGAGGAAGGGGAGCCCCGACGCCCTCCCGGAAGGTCAGGTGGCACCTACAGGCGCCACCGCGCCGGTGTTGGCCATGCCGACAGGGGTTTCCCCCGATCCCACCCGCACCTCAGGCGCTCCGGAGCTTGCCGCCAAACCAACCACCATCGTGCGCCAACGCGGTCATGAGGCCCCCCGCCGTCTCACCACGGCACCGCGAAGTGAGGACAGCACGGCGACATCGGCACCGTCGGCACGCGGGAGGGCCCCACCTCCACCTTTCGCGACGGTAGCCGTCCGCACGCAATAGCAGGAGCACACCAGGCCTGTGGGCCAACATGCCCGGCCGAGCCCTCGTGGGCCCGTAAAGCTCCCGCCTTCGCGCTGCTGCCGGCACGCCGTCAGTGCCGTCGCCCCAAATCCGAGCCGCTCCTCCTCCTCACCACGCCGCAAACAACGAGGCTGCGCCCGAGGACCGGCCTGCTAGGACCCAGATGGGGCCCTAAGGGCCCAGATCTGGGCCGTGGGCGCGTCGCCGGCCAACCTGGGCTACCAGGCCGCCCCGCCGCCAAAGGACGGCGCCACCACC